GTACTAAGAAAATGTAGTGTATATATTTGTATGTGCTACAAATATATCCAGGTAGCTTTGAGGATAGAGAGGGCAGTGTTATGCGGCCACTTAGCCATAACCAAACACCTTGAGGAAATGAGTTACAGGGCCCAGGGGCTGCAAACTCAGCCTCGGGGGATATCTTGGTCAGTTGGCCTAACATAGTCCATAAAGACAAAGGTCTTCCTTCTACTTTGGTGAGTTGGCACTGGGGTCATAAAAGCTTGCAGGCAGCCAGCTACAATATGACTATTGGTCCCTTCTCCTCCGTACCAAAGTAAAGAAAATTAAGAACTCAAGGAAACAATTAGTCCAAAGGACTAAGGAATGAACCACAAGAACCACAGCTCCCCTTAGCCTCAGACCAGAAGAACTGAATGATCCCTGCTACCAATACTAACTGCTCTGATCAAAATTATAAAAGAAAGTCCTAGAGGGAGTGAGGTAAAATGATAAACAAAAGTCAAAAATCATACAATTTGACCAGACTTCCGGATCTGATAGAAGCTACTGGAACCCCGGAGACTATGATCCATAGACTATGGTCAAAACTGGAACTGAACCCACCTTTCAGCAGATAGACTTGTAAAGTGAACAGTAACACCCCACCCATGAGAAACATGTGTCTCAGAACAATTAACCGTACACGATGGAAAAGGCAGCATCCACCGCACCCCACCCCCCCAAAAAGTTCAGAAGGTCCAGGAAAGATGGGCAAAGGGCATCAGGGAATCCAGAGAGGAAGTGGGAAGAGTGCTTCGCCTTGGAGGGGATTGCAAGCAATGTCATGAAACAAAATGTGTATAATTTGATGAATGGAAAATGAATTTGCTCCGTTAACTTGCACTCCAGCTACAACACAGTGTTCAAACACAGAAAATATAGTCAACTTAGACTTGTGGAAGGCAATTTTAAAAGTTAATGTACTTCTCAGAGATGAGAGAATTCTTTGATCTTCATGCTTTAAAAATAATAATAAAGAAACACAATGCAATGCCAGGCCATTTGTCTGGATCCTATAAACAATATTTCCTAAACATAACCAGTACTGGGACCACCCTTATTTCGCCGGTATTATAGATCACCTGATAGGAAGAGTACATAGTGATATGTCCAGATTGGGAACATTCATGGCTAAATTCTTCCAGCTAGTAAAATGCCGAGCCGGCTGATAGAAATGCAGCCAAACAACTCAGGGCTCCAGGAGTGGGCAGGAGGGTGGCAGATGGGCTTCTGTGTGTCGGTATGGACAGCTGTGACATAAAGGATACAGGGAGAAGCCGTGCAAACCGCCCATCCTAGATGAAAGGGTTTTGAACTGTGAGCAACAACAAAATTATTAGACTGTGCAGTTAGTACATGCATTTAGCCCATAGTTAGTCCTACTACAACTACAAGGCCACCCAGAAATGAGGTGTGTGCATAGGAAGGGAACTGTAAAAAGAGCATGCTGTTGTTAGAAGGTAAAGCCAAAGTTTCCTTGTGCATGGAATGTTGGGAACATGTTCAACAATCCCTCAGCCTTTGTGATGACGGTATAGGGAGAATCAACTAGCATGACTTGTGAAATAGAAGGGAAAAGTTGGGGTGCCTCCAACTGGAAGATGGGTGTCTATAAAACCATAGGAATATGGGATATATGGTCATTCACCTTGGTTATCATTTAGTGCCCCCTCCCCCATTTTCATCAATAGACACAGATCAAATACTGTATCAGACGGTGGAAGTAAAAAGAATAGGATGTGGTGCTGCGTTAAATTCTAATGCAACTGAGGCAGAAAAGCCAAAGGTTGACTGACAAGCATTGCTAATTCTGACTCATGGCCCCTGTATGTGACAGAATAGAACTTTCCGACGATCTCCCAAGGTGTTATCTTTATGGGAGCTAATCATCAGGCCTTTTTCCCATAGAGAAGTTTGGTGGGTTCAAACCACTGATCTTTTCATTAGATGCTGAGCACTTAGCTATTGTACCACCAGAACTCCTTAATAACCAAGCTGAATACCATCCAGATGATTCTGATGCATAGCGATCCAATAGGACAAGGTAGACCTGCCCTGGGGAGTTTTCTGAGACAGTAACTCCTTATGGAATTAGAAAGCCTCATCTTCCTTTTTTTTTTTCCTAAATCATTTTATTGGGGGCTCTTACAGCTCTTATCACAATCCATCCATCCATCCATTGTGCCAAGCACATTTGTACATATGTTTCCATCATCATTTTCAAAATATTTTCTTTCTACTTGAGCCCTTGATATCCACTCCTAATTTTCCCCCTCCCCCACCCTCCATCCCTCATGAACCCTTGATAATTTATAAATTTTTCCTCCCATGTCTTACACTGACCGCTGTCTCCCTTCACCCACTTTTCTGTTGTCCATCCCCCTAGGAAGGGTTATGTGCAGATCACTGTGATTGGTTTCCCCTTTCTTCTCCCACCTTACCCTTACCCTTCTGGTATCTCTAGTCTCATTATTGGTCCTGAGGGGTTTATCTGTCCTGGATTCCCTGTGTTTCAAACTCTTATCTGCAGCAGTGTACATGCTCTGGTCTAGTCAGATTTGTAGGGTGGAATTGAGCTCATGATAGTGGGGTGGGGTGAGAAGCACTAAAGAACTAGAGCAACAGGTCTCAACCTGTGGGTCGCGACCCCTTTGGCGGTTGAACGACCTTTTCACAGGAGTCACCCAATTCATAACAGTAGCAAAATGACAGTGATGAAGTAGCAACGAAAATAATTTTATGGTTGGGGGGGGTGTCACCACCACGTGAGGGACTGTGTTAAAGGATCACGGCATTAGGAAGGTTGAGAACCACTGAACTAGAGGAAAGTTGTGTTTCGATGGTGCTATACTGCACCCTGACTGACTCGTTCTTCCTTGTGACCCTTCTATAAGGGAATTTCCAGTTGTCTACAGTTGGGCTTTGGGTCTTCACTCCGCACCCCGCCCTCCCCCACCCCCCTGCTCCCCGCCCTGCACATTCACATTGATATAATTTTTTGGTCTGGGTCTTTGGTACCTGATGCCTGATCCCATCAACAACTCATGATCACACTGGCTGGTGTGCTTCTTCCATGTGAGCTTTGTTGCTTCTCAGCTAGATAGTGCTTGTTTATTTTCAGGCCTTTAAGACCCCAGACACTCTATCGTTTGGTAGCCGAGCACCATAAGCTTTCTTCACCACATTTGCTTATGCACCAGCTTTGTCTTCAGTGATTGTATCAGGAAGCCAAGCATCACAGAATGCCAGTTATTAGAACAGAGTGTTCTTGTGTTGAGGGAGGACTTGAGTTGAAGCCTCATCTTTCTAATGCAGAGCAGCTGACCTTACAGTTATCAGCCCAACGGGTAACCACTATGCCACTGGGGCTCTGAACAACTCAACAGATGACTTGAAATGTTAGGTAGCATGCAATGAATGCTTAAAAAAAAATAACAACCTGCCCCCCCCCCACCTTCTAACTTGAAAAGAAAGAATTTTTAATAATAGTATTTCACACAACATGTAATATATTGGGATAATTGGGTACTATTTTGGGTAGTATGATATCTTGGGGTATACATAGGTAGGAAAGGAGTAAATACATTCTTTTAACCAGTGGATTTATAATATATTAAATGAAGTCAGTGATATTTGGAGATAGGCCCCCCAAACAAACTTTGGAATCAGACACTCCTGATTCCAAATTCCAGGACTACCCCTGACTGACTTTGGGGTGGGTGACTCAACTCACCTGACCCTCAGGCTCCTCGTGTGTAAGCAGGACTGTCCCCTTCCAGATGGGGATGTTAAGAAGATTAAAGAGTTAGCATTTGTAAGGCACAAGAAACAGGGAGAGGAATTGAGAAGCTTTGTGATTGTTTGCTCCCTAAGGCATCACTTCTACAGGGTGCTCACTGCAACACTGGAAAAAAAAAAAACCGATCTGGGAGAGACTCAGAGCTCACTCCAAGTAGACAGTGCTTGTGTTGTAAGCCTATCTGCCATACCTTCAATCTACACTAACATTCACTCACTCCCTCGCATTCAACGAGCTGCCACTATTTCCAGCACTGTTATAGGCATTTGGAATACAATAGTGATAAAGGTATGCCAGGGTCCTGCTCTCAGAGAGCTTACAGGGTAAAAGAGGGAACCAAATAATAAACCTGCAAATAAAGTTATTTCCTGCACAGTAAGAGGAGGATCACAGGGTGGAGCATGATTAGGAAAGGCGTAGAGAAAGACTGTTCTGAGGAAGCACTGAGCAGTCTCTAACAGTGCTTCTCAGCCTGTGGCTTGTGGCCCCTTTGGGGGTCGAATGACCCTTTCACTGGGGTCGGCTGATTCATAACAGTAGCAAAATGACAGTTATGAAGTAGTAACGAAAATGATTTTATGGTTGGAGGAGCACCACAACATGAGGAACTGTATGAAAGGGTCACGGTATGAGGAAGGTGGAGAACCACTGCAGAATAATGAGAAGCTGCCATCATTAAAGGCCTGAGCGAGAACATTGTAGACAAAGGAGCTACCAGGATCAAGGCCCCGAGGCAGGACTGAGTGTGGGGTGGTGGGAAACAGAGACCAGTGTGACTGAGCAGACGGAGGACAGGGACAGAGACAGTTCCTATGGGGCCTTGAGACCAGGCTACCACTGGATATTCCTCTAAGAACCGTAGAAACCCACTGGGAGTTTTAGCTAGTTAGTGATATGATTTGACTTCACATTTTTTTGAACATCCATCGACTGCTGTGTAGAGCTTGGGGCTCTTGAGCTGCATGGGTGAAGGAGGACTTTCTCGGCTTCCACCCCCACCACCTGGTCACTAGACTTCTGGCTGCTGTCCTTGTCATTCTGGACTGGAGGGGTCACCTGATTCCACACCTCTCTCATATTGCCGAGGCAACCCTAGACCCATCTTTCAAATGTTTTAGGACACATTCGACTAATGTTTCTCCAATGAAATACTTAACCCAAATGTCTGTTTTTTCAGGTTTTGAAAATCAGTTTGATTGGCCACAGGAAACGTATTTTGGCATCTCTGGGAGACCGGCTACACGACGATCCTCCACAGAAACCCCCTCGGTCCATCACCCTCAGGGTAAGTGTTCTTCACTATTCTCCAGAATTATGTGTGCAATGAAAGGGGGTAGCAACAGATCTGGAAGGACAGGCTGCTTCCCTGGGAGTTCACCTCTCTGTGTCAAAGCACCCGCCTCGTTTCTCACATTCGGTCAAACAAGACTTGCTTTTCTCGATTGGCTAAAGGTGTATTTTTGATAGGTAGATATCCACCTCTGATAAAAAGCGGGCTGACAAGCCACTGCCTTTAAGAAGACGCTTCCTCATCTCCCATCCCTCATGCGCATTACACCAGTCCTCAGAAAATGTGTTCTCTGTCAAACTCCTCGGTCCGGTGGAAGAAATCAATCCTTCAGGGGCCACAGTTAAGATCCATTGATCATTAACCTTACAGTCTTTAAAATGTTTTTTTAAAGAAGTAAAGACAGTTCCTCTTTGACCCATTTCACAATGTTCCAATAGAACATTGAAAACTTTGTTTCCTAAACTACATTTCGTCTCCATTTCATAAACTCTCTGCCCTCTCCGCTTTGGAATGATGAGGGAGAGAAACTGGAAGGGAGAGAGTAAACGTGGGAGGCAGACGAGGAGAGACAGAGAGATGGCTGCCAGGCAACAGGCCCGGAGGAGGGGGAGCTGACAGCCACTGGGTTTTCAGGGGGCCGATCAGAAGTTTTCTGAAAGTCAGCGAACAGCTGGGGTCTGTCTAACAAGTTGGAGAGCCCCCACTCTGTTCCCTTTGCTTCACCCTCATCTGCTGGCGACTTCCCCTCCCTGCATGCACACAGAAGGGTACTGCTAAGACAGGGCCTTCCACATAGCGACCAGCATAAATGCAATTGGAGCCACTGACCAGTGGACCTTAGCAAATGTGGTCACTATTGTCAGGGAGGCCTAGGGTGGAGCAGAGGAGGAGACAATTTGGAAGGGGAAGAAAGTGCACAAAGATTTCTGGGAATGGAAGAGAGTTGGCTGAGTGAGAATAATTTATGATTGGAGGGAAGGGGGACATTCTGAGGTGTGGAAGACTTAGAAAGTAGTGAGAGTACAAATGGGAGTCATTCTTCTCCCTCCCATAAGAGGCACATCAGCTGATTTGGTGGGGGACAGGGAGAGAGAAGCTACAGCTGGTGTGTTTGAACCCCTGACATTCTGGTTAACAGCCAAGTGTTTTTCACCACAGTGCCGACCGGGCTCCTTGAAAGAGAGTGGTGTCTTGCTATGTGGAAGGGAAGGAGGATCAAGGACTCATCACTGTTGTCACCCTACAATGATTCTTTCAGGGAGAAACCGCTTGCTATTTCCTCTACTGTCCCAGAACCTTCCCCTTCAGCACCTCTTCTGTTGACTCTGGAAAAGCTCTAGGGCTGTGGTTCTCAACCTTCCTAATGCCACGACCCTTTAATACAGTTCCTCATGTCGGGGTGACCTCCCCAACCAGAAAATTATTTATTTTCATTGCTACTTCATCACTGTCATTTTGCTACTGTGATGATTCGGGCAACCCCTGTGAAAGGGTCGTTCGACCCCGAAAGGGGTCACGACCCACAGGTTGAGAACTGCTGCTCTAGGGGAACAACAAATCAATGATAGGGATTCCCAGGGAAACATGCAGGCGTTTCCTTAGTCAGAAGAGATCCAGAACCTAGAGGGGGGATCTGGCCTGGGAATTCAGATCCCCTGCCAGCACAAGGGCTCAGCTCTCTGCTGCCCTCCGTCTTATATCTGACCGTTTCCCCTCTGGAGCAGCCTTTGCCATTGAACGCCATCCTCTGCCATGACACGCATTGCTCTGCGGTCTGCACCTGTCATAGCCTGGCTTTCCATGCGGTGACCTCTCCCTGCCCTATCACCAGATACTCTGGGATGGGAAGTCGACGTCCTGTGTGCTCCATTTCACTTTCCCTTGGGGCATCCCATGCCAGGGGACACCCTGCCCCCATAAAAACGCAGTTGCTTGAAGGACGCACCACAGAGCACCCATATGGTAGCTTTAAGAATACAAAGCTTAGCTCTTTATCCTTTCAACTTTTGACCAGAACTATGTCATGGGGTGGGGGAGGGGGGAAGCAAAATATGGGCTAGGCACTCATGCCACTAATAAAATGGTGGGCAATCATCCACTCCTTGGCAGTGGGTTTAATTTGTTTAAAAAGACTCCCCAGCCCCACAGTTTGTCTTGTCAGTATTTCACAGTTTTGAAACCAAAGGTTAGCCTCAAGGACGTGGTATTTATTTCATGATGTATTTCCATTCAGGAACCCAGTGGTAATCACACTCCTCCTCAGTTGTCTCCATCACTTAGCCAAAGCACTTACACCACTGGTGGCTCCCTAGACGTTCCTCACATTATCATGCAGGGCGATGCAAGGAGGAGAAGAAATGAAAACTACTTTGATGATATTCCCCGATCGAAACTGGAGAGGCAGATGGCTCAGGTAAGGTGTGGTTCTTTCGTGCTGTGTGTACCTCCACCCCTCTCCAGAGAAGCCTTCGTGGGTTGAACACGTGGCTTGCCATACTTGCTTACCGAGCACACCGGACAGTTTTTCTTCCCCGGTGTGCGGTGTGGCTTTTCAAATTCCAGGCTCCCTTGAACTATACCGAAGCAGGCCTTTCTGGGAAGGCACTGTGCAAGGGGGAGGGGGGGCTGCAAAACGTTTGTGGGGAAATTCCATTCTCTCCGAATCCTGTTTTTCCATGGACTTTTTGAAACCTTACCTGTGCATATACACCCTTGGTATGTGTCTGCGGATGCAGTACTCTTGTGTTCCATTTTTACTGGAGAAATTGTGTGTGATCCCAGGGCACCGAGAAAGTCTTTGCCCTCAAGGGAATAATACTCTGTAAGAAGCAATTCACACTGGGAACAAATAATCAAATACCAGATTATTAAAATGTAAATCAGTTGGTAGGGCAAGGTTGGGGGGTCGGGGGAGGGACTGGGAACCCAGTATATTTTCCATTTCCTGCCAAGTGTACACTGCTGTGTAGAATTGTGCGACTGGAACTAGTTGCATCATCTTCACCCTGGATGAAAACGATGATGCCTCGAAGCACATAACCAGCAAGAGGCGTCTGTCGCCGCCAGACCTGCCCAAGCCATGCCGTCTCAAGGTGTGGATGCCCGTCCCTAGCTTGTGCCCAGCACGCTGCTCAGAAACGTGAGTCAGCCATCTGTAAGCACACGGTGGGCCCACGACCAAAGCGTATTCAGGTGGGCAGCTGGCTCGGCCATTTGGCCCCGAGATTCAATATGTGGATTTGTTGACAATTCTTGGCAGAATCAACTGTTTTCATCCTCATTCTAGGTTCAGACCGGTGTACCACGAGGCTTCTCTCTACCTCCCACACCTGAGATGAGAATCTAGAGGTGAAAATTTGCCTGTAATTGCTGTGCCTTGGTTGTTAAACATTGTTCTCAGCTGTTTGATGAAATTCCACCAGTAAAAGCCTGTGGTAAACAGTTTATGCTGCAGCTCATTGACAAAAAAAAAAAAAAATCTGAAGAGAATGTTCTAGAAGCTGTGGCTGTTCTGCCTGCAAATGCCCTGAAGACAGACGGCTGGGGATGTTGTCTCTCCATTCAGCTCTTTCAATATTGAATTATTCTCAGGGTCCTTTGTGCAGGGAATGGCAATTGGGGGATTATGGAAAATCATCTTTTATTGAAAGGAGATGAAAAATGTATGGGAGGCAAGAGGAAAATGGTGTTCCCTTCCCTCTCTTGTTAGGTATTTACTGTCTTTTAATCCATATTCCCTGTTTTTATTATGTTTCTTTAAATAAGAAACCTGAAAGCTTCATTCCCCCCACAGACTGCTCACATATAGCTTCCCTGCTATTTGTCAGAATAGGATTTGTGGTCCACAATTTCTTTAAAGACATTATTTCAGAAGCGTTGTTTGTTTTAACCTTGAGCCCTGTGGTCTTTGTATAGTGAGACAAACCGGGGAAGGGCTCAAGGAAGGACAGTCCTGATGAGCCTGAGCTATTGACTGTGTCAATTCCAGAAACAGAGTCACCTCTCGCTCAGATCGTCTGCTTGATTTCTCCGCATACAAGGCTGAGGTGAAAAGCATTGCTACAAAATCATGGACACCTTGATGCAACAAGAATCTCACTATTTAAAAAAGAACCTCCCGCTGTGAAGCTGTCCCTTCTGGACATATCCTCAGTCCAGCTGTGCACCCTTCTGAAGATGGCGTCTCCGTCTCTCTGACCCTTCCCCCAAAGGGTTCTGCACTCTCCAATTTGCACCACATCAAAACAGTAGTTTTGCGATCATCCAGCATCTCAAACCATATCCCTTTCCACTGTTCTTTAAGTTTGGAGAACAGAAAGAAGTCTGAAGGGGCAAGATCAGGGCGGGAGGGTGGGTGGAGTAAGGTTTCTCAAGGAAATTCTCATAAGACAGCCCTTGCTACCTTCCAAAAAAACGAACAGGCCCATTGTTGTGTTACAAAAGAAAAATTCCGTCTTGCAACTTTCCTGAGCTTTTTCTCATCATTGCAGTTTTCACTTTTCTTAAGACCTCTTCCTAATAAACCCCCTGGGATCTTCTGCCCTTCAAGAAAATCTAGCATGATCATTGCCCCTTTGAAAGAAAAAACCAAATGGCGAGCTGATAGCAGGGGCTCAAGTGGGAAGAGAATGCTTTGAAAATGATGATGGTGGCATATGTGCAAATGTGCTTGACACACTGGATGAATGTATGGATTGTGATGAGATGTAAGAGCCCCTAATAATTTGGGGAAAAGAAATAAAGAAAAAACCCAAAATAGTCACCATTTACCTCCTGAGTGAACCTCTCTGCCTTCAATTGAACTGGTCCAGGAGATTCCCTCAGATGCCACAGTTTGGGATGGACCATTTTTAGAGATATAAAACCAATATAGGGGCCACATCTGACCTCTGCCTCAAAAGGTGGATTGCCACCAGGCAGGAATCAGACACGGCCTGCCTCCTCCATCCTTAACCCATATTCTGACACCAACCTTTCCGTTCCTCCCACAGCCCTGTACTTTCAGTGAGCTCTACTTCTCTGCTGGGTTCAAAAATTCATTGCAATAGCCACACAGAACTCATGATGCTCACAATTATGCGATTTATTAGTGATGTGAGCAGGTTAAAATTCACATGTGAAATGCTCAGAATACAGTTGTTCAGTCAGGACAGTTTCTTCTCAACCGTGGCCACAGACAGGCCTCTCTCTGGCCCTCAGCCTCTTGGCCTGGCCTCTGCTGTGCTCCTGCAATGTTACGAAGCTCAGTTAGGGCTACCAATAAGTGCCCAAAGGACATGCCACTCCTCTGTAAGCCTTAGCCTAAAGGCACTCAGCTCCAGGTCCATCGGTTAGCAACCCAGCTCCCCCAATTAAGTGTCCTGAGGCTCTGCTCACAACTCTAAAAGCTAGCTTCCCGGACCACCACCGTCAAAAGCATGCAACTTTACTTGCTATAAGTTCACCACTGTCTCATGTTCTGACTCCTGGTTCTGCTGGGGCTACTGCTCTGGTGTCATAGATGTCGCCCAGATCAGAGAGGATTTGGAGGGGGGGTGGGCAGGTAAAGGACGTACCCCACACCTGACTCTACCCTTCTGCTGGTAGTGAAAGCTCCCCTTCCTGCTTCTGAGATGGCTCATTTTGTACCCAGCAGGCTAGCCATCACAATCGACTCTGTTAACAGTCACTCACAGGGGAGTCATAGAACCCCATAGGTGTCTTCCCCCACCACCTTACCCAGACCTATCAGGAAATGAGAGGTGTTTGGTGAGAGTAACAAAAGACTAGAAGAGACATAGTTAATTCACAGCATTGCAGGAAGGCACCCCATGGAGAATAAGACAAGTTGTAGTACTGAAAGGATTTGTCTGCAGCCTTCCACTGATTGATGTACAAGCTGCACTGGAGGCATTGAGCAAAATAGAGCATCAGGAATTGACAGACTACCAACTGAGATGTTTCAACAAATAGGTATAATCTTGGAAATGCTCACTCATCTATTCAAGAAATTCAGAAGACAGATACCAGTACAACCAGCTAGAAGAGATCCGTATTTGTACCTGTTGGGTTAAAATCTGACAGAATGTGGGAAGTATTGAATAATTTCATTAATACCACAGGCAAATAAAGTTTTGCTAAAGATAATTTTAAAATGGTTGCAATAGTACATTGCCAGGGAACTGCCAGGAATTCAAGCTGGATTCAGAAGAAGATATGGAATGTGAGATATTCCAACTGATGTCAGATGGATTTTGACTGAAAGCAGAGGCTATCTGCAAGATGCTTATTTGTTCTGGCTAGACTAGAGGATGTACACTGGTAGAGATAGGAACTGGAAACACAGGGAATCCACTCACAGTGACCGTATATCAGGTTCTCACAGTTTTGTAAGTAGCCGCATGTTTCACTTTCGTGAAGCATCTGGTGGGTTTGATCCACCAGCCTTAGAGTAAATAGTCCAATGCTTACCTGACTGCGCCACCAAGACTCCTTGCAAGTTAGGGCAGCAGAGCATTTTGGGTCTCTCATCTTTTTCCTGACCCTTCCACTGGCATGCATCCCTCTCTGGAACTGTCTTGCCTTGGGAAAATGGAATAAGTGTTTATCTGATAGGAAGAGCCCAGAAGCAGACAAAAGAGTCAGATAAGCAGTTGATGGGGCTTCTTGTCCCCACCAGCACCACCACCACCAAGGATCGAATGATTGATAGAGACATTGGCCTCATCTGTCACCCGGACCTTGTTAGAAGCTTTCTAAAATCCTGCTGCTCAACTTAGCACCTTGGTTGCAGAGAAAATAAGATGTGGCATGACAGGTATCTGATCAATAAGACAGAGGGATTCTGGGATTGCATCTCGCGGGCTTGGTTAATTGCAGTCTTCCATGTGTCTCTAGTCTGGCAATGCCAAGGATCAAGGAGAAATAGACCTGCAGCTCTTCAAACTCTTGCATCTTAGCTTGTCAAAATAGAAAGTACTTGGTGATTTTGTTTTTGAACACTTGAATGTATGTGGTTTTTTTCTAGTACTTAGTTAACCACTTCGTGGTTTTTGCTTATTTTTCCTTTGTGTGTGTGTGTGTGTGTGTGTGTTTGCTATAATTTCAGAAGCTGTTTTAATGCCATTTTCCTCTCTCCAGACCACACCCTTCCCTGAAGCTATGTGCTGAGCCAATAAAGTTAGGCCTTCCTCAAGATTTGAAGTAATGATTGAAATCCATGTAAAGAAGGCCTCTTTAGGCCTCCTTCCAATGAGGCGTTCTCTCCCTAAGGATTTCTTTCCCAAGGTGTTTCTTCCAGCCAGCTTCTTCGGACTTGATTAAAGCTTGCATAACCAATCTCTTTTTGTGTCCCTCAAAGATGAAAGTCCATCTCAAACGTTTTTGTCTTCCCTACCCAACAAAGGGCAAGTGAAGAAGAGAGAAAGCCCTCAG